ATGTTTGTACCATCATTTCACCAGGCTAGAAATCTAAAGTCCAGGTTTAGCAAGTGGAAATTCAGTAGGAGACATCAGTGTATGTCAAGATGAGATAAAAATGTAACTAAATGTTACTGGAGTGGTAATTGTGAAGAAGAGTAAAAGATAGTTACTTGTTCCATAACTGGTGTTCTTCGAGATGTGTTGCTCATATCCATTCCACGTTGGGTGCGTGTGCTTTCAGCAGTATCACAGAATTGGAAAGAACCTCAAGAGGTCATCAAATCCAGTCCCCTGCACTCATCCTTATCTATAGGTGAGCGGCTCTGGCACTCTCCGGAGAGGAACGGCATGGTAGAGTTAAGGAGCACCACCCACTCCCAACACCCTGTTACTTGCTAGAAACTGCGAGAGTGGGGAAGGAGGGTAGGTCATGGAATGGACATGAGTATCATACCTTGAACTACAGTTATGGCACAGGCAACTATTTTCAATTCGAGTGCTTGCTCATGTCCATTCCATGTTAGGCAACTCCTAGCAGTACCAATGGAGGAGGGCAGGAGTTCATGGTCACGCAGATTGTAATATAGCTCTGTCAAATCCAGCGTAATTTCTGACCTACTATGTGATGACATGAGATGTGAACATGAGGACAATGGACCATATTGTGGCTTTATAAATGTGAACTAGGAAGGTAATTGAAGATGCCTGCGTTCTACTCGAATGGGCTCGTAGTCAGCTAATAACAGGCCCTTATGTAACAGGTGGTCCAATTGGTAATGCTCTGTGTGGAATCCTATACACTGTTGTGATGAAGAAATGGGTTGATTTGTGGAAAGGCTTGGTAACTCTAAGCAAAAGGCCATGCCCTACAGACAGCCAGGGCATACAAATGCCTGTCCTCCATGGTCTTGTGTGGTTTGGGTCAGAGTACTGGCAGGAATATATCCTTGTTCACATGGAACAAGGACAACACCTTTGGCTGGAAGGCCAGATGGGGCTGCAGCTGGACCTTGTCCTTATAAAAAACTGTGTAAGGCAGTTTTGAGGTCAAGGTCTTGATCCTGAAGACTCATCTCACCAACATCACCGCTACTAGGAATGCAACCTTCCAGGACCAGTAGAAGAGAGAGAAGAGTAGGCTGGATCATCCACACTGACAGATGCACAGACTTGAGACTGAAGTGTAAGAGCCAAACAATCTAGAGATAGTAAGCCCAGATGGTTGGGAAGGTGCCAGGCCAGGCCAGGCCCACTGCCATGCTCATGAGTGTGCTGAACTAGTGTTGATGAGACTTTGTTAGGGCAATCACGATAACCCATGCTTTGCGTCTCTTGATCATTATTAGGATCTGGCCGATGAGAAGGATCGGCGAGAACACGTACATCAGACCCTCTGTCCACAACAGAATGTAGTCAGAAAGGGAGCCCTTGTCCAGGCCCTGCCAGGGGCAAAACTGATGGTACTTTCTGTTTTGCCTGGTGGCAAACAGATTTACTAGGGGAATTCCCCACCTCTGGAAGATCACCTGGGTCACTTCTGAGTAGAGCAACCACTCATGGTGAGAGGAAAAGTACCCGCTGAGTTGATCTGCTAGAGCATTCCTGACACCTGAGTGGTGACCTGCCTCGAGGAGGATGCAATGACTGTTGTAGAAGTCCCAGAAACGGGGTGCCATTTGTCAGAGCGCCAACGACTATGCTCTCCTTTCCTGTAGATGTAAACCATCATGGTCATATTGTCAGTCAGGACTCTCACATGCCTCCATGTGGCCCAGCAGACACACTCTGGCAGTTGTCAGGGGAAACATGGATATTCACGTGACGAGGTCCATCAGGAACTGGAACCTGTGTAGCAGCAAGAGTGCAATCACGAGTCCTTTCAAGAGGACTAACATGTACTTTTTGTTGTTGACCAATAGCCCCAAGGAGTGGCACAAAACTTGCAGTTGGACCTGCTTTGGAGCTGCTTTTGACTAGCCAGTCTTCAAGTTACAGGTAAATCTGGATACCCTGGTCGCCTGGCTTAGTCCCAGGTGGGACTAACAAACAAACTACTGTTAAGAGCTAAATAACTATTTACTAATTCTACAAGGAGTAAGGGTCCTACAGACAAAGCATAAAGCAATACTAGTCAGAGTGGCGAATGTTCCATGCACCATCACTGGTGGCAAGAAGGAACTGAGAGTGGGAGGAATGGGTGGCATCCCTGATACTGCACCTTGCAGATGCCACTCTAGAGGGCCTCAGAGCCACTCCCCTATGGATACTGCTGAGGGAAAAAATTCTGGCACAGGTACATATGGCAAGCACCTGCACCTAATATGGAATGGATCTGAGTAAGCAAAGAAGAACGATAACTTCTATTGCAAAAGTGCATATTAAGAGGACAGGACTGGGGCACTGTCAGGGAAGGAAAAAATATTGGCTCCACACTAAATATTAGATCATAAGAATGACCATACTGAGTCAAACCAAAGGTCCATCTAGCCCAGTAACCTGTCTGCTGACAGTGGCCAGCACCAGGTGCCCCAGAGGGAGTGAACAGAATAGGAAATCTTCAGGCAATCCCTCTCCCGTCACCCATTCCCATCCTCTGACAGAGGCTAGGGACACCATTCCTGCCCATTCTGGCTAACAACCATTGACGGACCTAACCTCCATGAATTTATCTAGTTCTTTCTTGAACCCTATTAAAATCCTGATCTTCACAACATCCTGGCAAGGAGTTCCATAGGCTGACTGTGCACTATGTGAAGAAAAAAATTCTTTGCTTGTTTTAAACCTGCTACCTATTTAATTTGGTGACCCCTAGTTCTTATGTTATGGGAAAAACAACAGAACCATTGGTAGTATAAAGGCAGAAGGAAGTGGGTAGGTAGAATAGTGGGAAGGGTTAGCACAACCTCAAGCAATGATGAGGGGAGTGGCAATAGGTAAGAGTAAAGTTATGCTAGAACAAAATGCTATTACATATAAACATGCTTTTCCTATAGCAATGCAATACTCTAGCCATTGCTTTTTGTGAGGACAGAAAGTCAAGCACCCAGAATTATCATCAGGTTGCAAGTGCTTCTTCTAACACTGCAGGGTTCTGTTAGCTTTCCAAATTTGCTCTTTACTCTGCTCCAATGTTCTGCATATATATTAATGTCTTCAGATCAAAACAACTAGAAGAAGAGAAGCAATACAGTTAAGTGAAGATGGCTAGGGTTGGAGGTATAGCAAAAGTACCACCTTGATATTAGCTCTTTCTGGTTAGTAAAATATGAGGTGAGAAGAAAAAAAAAAAAGAGACAGGAAGTGACACATGCCATGAGACTATGTTCAAATAACACAAATGTTACTGAAGTGCCTTGCTCAAGTGGTTCAGCTGGATACAGCAACACCCATCAATGCTGTCCAGCCATACACCTCCTGCTTTTACTGAAGAGGCCCAATTATACTTAGCCTCCACAACTTCGCTGGTGGGCATGTGCACCAGTAGAAAATAGAACAAGTAGAAAGGGTAGAAATGTGATGTGTAAAGCCATATCAATTTCATGGTTATATAAAATGTGTCACGGACCATGAAATAAGCCCTTCCCCATAAAATCTGGTTTCCCCTGTGCTACTGGGAGTGCCCCAACCAGGGACTACTAGCTTGGAGTCCCATTTGAGCTAGGGAGGGACAGGATTTGTCCTTCTCCTGCAAGCCTCTTTCAGAGGGCAATCAGATGTGCCTCAAGGTGCCCTGCCCAACCCATGAGCTTCTTGCAGCAGGACAACAGCCCCAAAGGCTCCTGAGCCAGAAGAGGCTTCCAGAGCTGGAACTGGATCCATTCTCCCCCATTCTGCTGGGTTTAAAACCATCTGTGATGGTTCCCCACCCATGTTTTATGAAGTTTGGCTTATTAACATAAATATGCACAACTCAAAATTGCTTTCACCAAAATACCTTATGTAACCTATCTACTAATGTTACAGTCTGCTGAAACTGCATAGCCCATTTTGATGTACAGTAAACTTCCAATAATCCAGCACCTTTAGGACCCAGGGGATGCCGGATTATCAGATATGATGGACTATCGGAAGGGGGGCTATGAGGGGCTGGGGT